CATCTACACGTATGCTTGCTTTTTCTCTACTAAGATCGGACCACTCACACTTAAAAAGCACAAATCTTCTATCTTTTAGATAATCCAACTCTATAATATTAGTAAGAACCCCATAAAAAGTGACCATATTGTTACAATGATTTACTTCTACTACCGCCCTATTATTTTGACTTTTAAGTCGTGCATCATGATTCTTAGTATGAAATCTAACCCCATTATATTTCTTTACACAAACTTGATATCCGTATGCTAAAAAATATAATGCCTCACTAGCTTCTTGTGATTGTTCATTATATAAACGCATTATCTATAAGACAAAGTAATTAAGGTAATGTGAGATGATGCAACAAAAAAATTATTATACAAGTTTTAATATTTTTTTCTTTAGGTCCTTACGCGTTGTTGAAACCACAAAAAGAACTTTGCTCTATGTCTTTCTTCCACATCTAATTCACTATCCCGCATAAGCCCTTGTCTATGACCACTAAGAAAATTATTGCATGTCAATGGTGAGTAATTGTTCCACATCTAAATAAAATCCGATAATTCAACAACATTTCAAGTTAACTTACTTAATATATGGTTCCACTTTTATGTAATTATTTAAGATATACTAGTGACATATTTCAAGCTCCTTTGTTGGATTATCAACATATTTTACAACTCCAAATGGTCAAAGCCTATGTGAAAAAACGGACAAACCACCATGTCCTAAAACATGAAAATTACGTCATGGCCTATTAAATTGAGTTTCAATTCCATGAAGATATATGGAACAAAACATTAAACATTCTCCGACGATATAGGCCTCGAGCAATTGAACCTTCGGATAAGCTTTACTATGCATAATTCTTTTAAAAGACCCCAAACGTCTACTATAATCATACATAAGAATTATTATTATAAGTAATTTCTCAAGTGAAGGAAAAAAAAATCTTAAATAAAAGTAATTTCTCATCGCTCAATAGGAAATATCCATCTAAATTGAACTAGACCTCCAAGAATAGCCTCGTATGGTAAATGAACCGCCAAATGCACCATTATGTCAAAAAAAGCTAGAGGAAATATCATTTCAAGTTTGCAAATTATTGAAACAATATTTGTTCTAATCTTCTCAAGATCTTCAATCTTCAATGTGTTACTACATAACCATTTGAAAAAATCTCCTAACTTAACTATCGTGTTAGCAAGCATCCTTCGACAAGCATCCACGAATGCCAACGAGGAGCAATCGTTGTAAAAGAACATGGCAATCATGGCTCTTTAAACCCGATATCTTCTCATCACTTATATTCACACATCCGGCAACATTGGAACCATACCCATCTAAAAACTTCACCGATTTCAAAAATTTACAAAATTATTGTTTTTCCTCCTTAGATAATACATAATATGTTGTTGGTACCATATATCTAATGTCACTTCTTTTCACCAAATACAACTCTTTTCTTATGTTCATGTCCTCCAAATCTTGTCTAGCCTTGAATATATCTTTATTTTTCCCATCTAAACCGAACAATGTTCCTAAAATATTCTCACAAATATTTTTCTCAATATGCATCACATCAAAATTGTGTCTTAACTTAAGCGTATGCCAATATGGCAACTAAAAAAAAATTCCAATTCAACTCATTGAGAGTACGCTTCCTCTTTTTATTTGTTAGGTGTTTTCCAAAATTGACATCTTAAAGAATTTCTAATTGACACAACACATCATCTCCTCGATAACTTCATAGGAGCCAATCAACATTCAATCTTCCAATAAAATTTTTTTACTTTTTCTCCAACTATGGTCTTCCGATAAAAACCAATGATGCCTTATGTAACTAATTTTACTTCTTAACTTATGGGAATAAGTTTGTTGATTACCAATAGGACAAGCCATATATCCCTTTGTACTCTATCCGGACAAATTACCATGTGCAAGAAAATCATTTATTGTCCACGGTATGGCAGCATGCATTTGGAAAAGTTATCCACTTGAAGCATCATATGTTCTAATACCAACTTTCCATAATTCCTTTAACTCATCAATTAAAGGTTGCATAAATACATCAATATCCTATCCTAGTGCATTAGCCTTTGGAATTAATGGTGACATGATGAAAAAATTTTCTTTCATGTATTTCCATAGTGGTAAATTATATGTAACAAGAATGATTGGCCACATACTATAAGAGCTACTCATATTATCAAATGGATTGAAACCATCGGTTGCTAGGCCTAGCCATACATTACAAGAATCATGGGAAAACCATGGAAACTTCCCATCAAAATCTTTCCATGCCACACCATCCGTTGGATGTCTTAACAAACCATCATCAACACACCTCTCCTTATGCCACCTCATATCTACAACTATATTACTAGACATAAACAACCTTTAAAGCCTAGGCATTAAAGCAAAAAATCGTAAAGTTTTATAGGAAATCTTCTTTCCTTTACTATCTTTGAATTTCCATCTTGAGGTACCACATTTAGGGCAAGATTCATGAGATTCATACTCTTTCCAAAATAAAGCACAATCATATTTACAAGAATATATAGGGATATACCTTAATACTCACTCACGCAACATGTTCTTTGCCTCATAATGACATTTTGGAAGTGTCTTACCACTTAGTAGAACTTGTTTAAGTAAGTCAAGCAACATGCCAAATGATTTATTGCTCCACTTATTATACACCTTCAAATGGAGCAATTTCGCTATGAATGATAATGTGGCAAACTTTGAACAACCTGGATATAATTCTTGTTGTGCTTTGTGCAATAATTTGTCAAAAGACATAGCTCTATGGTTTGTGTCATCTCGCATATAATTCCTTCTAAAGCTTTCAAATTCATTTAACATCTTATTAATTCCATCATCCTCTTCATCATCATTATGTGTCTCTTCAATATGAAATTCATCATTATGGTAACTAGAACTTGTATTAGATCTAGCATCAAAATTAGAGTGTTCCTCATGATAGATCATTGAGTATAATCCGTATCTATCCCTCGAATTAATATATGATCATAAACCGCATTTTGACTCTTCACATAAAAATTTAAACAATCGATATATGGGCACCTAATTTCACACTCTCTCCCTAGACTATCTTCTATGAATTTCATAAATGACTTAACCCTTTCTATATATCGAGTTGACCATTTTCCTTCCTTCATCCAAGTCTTATCCATTGTTAAATGCCTATCACAAAGACCAAATGCATACTTTAGTAAGTTATAATGTAAACGTGAGGTTGTCTTCCAATTTAGTCTCCAAACAAAATAAAGACTAATGTGACAAACTAAGTATAGATAAAACCTATAAATAAGAACCCATTTCTAGAAATTGATGCAATCTAAAGAAAAAGCTAGTAAATATATAGAATGATTGACAAAAGGAAAAAAGAAAAAGGAAAAGCATGCTTCGAGAATAGCTACATCTCCAATTAAGCATGAAATAGAAGCACACGCAAAAAATAAAAGAAAGTTCAACATACAAATTGAATAAGAATTTATAAAACATGAAATAGAAGCATACCTCAACCAGGACGGACTAAGAAACCTTTTGATAAGTCAAAGAAAGTAGTTGAATTGCTTGCTCAACCCGCATCCAGATTTTTTTATAAGAACAAAATTGCATACCCAAACACTACTCCTTTCTTACTATAACTCTATTATCGAAAAAAGGCAAGCCCAAACACAAATGGCTTTCTTCTTTTTTAATTAAAAATCATTGATCCGGTAGGTATTAGGACTCGTAAGAGTAATCAAAGTTAGAAGTCCCAACGTGAAAGCCTTGCACTCTAGGCAAGCTTGCCGAGAGCTAGGCATGCGTGTTGGCTCGTAGTAGGCATGCATGTTGGCTCGCTACGAGCTCGCCTCGGAGTCCAAGGCTTTCACATTGGGACTAAAATTAACCATTGTTTAAAAAAAAAAAAAAGGATTTAGGTCGATTAGGCATGAAATTATTATCATTTGTGTGTGTATATAGATTGTACTTAATCAAACATGATAACATGAATCAATTTAATTATCATCCTAAATCTACCTAATCTGCTAATCATTAACAAGGATACCGATGAATATATATTATTGCAAAGTATAGAGAATTTGAACCAATACAATGAAATAAGTGCACTCACTTAAATAAATAAAACACCTTACAAATTGTACTTTTCCGAGTTTGTTGATGTTAGAACCACATTGACCACCGACTTTAATACTATCGCTCTCATCCGAAACGAGAGGTTATTGAGAATAAACTTTCCGGTTCTGCTATATCAATCTTAGAAGCCTTGCTATAAGCATTAATAGGTGAGATAACCAATTGGTAAGAAACTTGTAAACAACAACCTGCGACCATAAACAATAGGCATACATATAGACTAATGTATAATTGATAAGAAATTTGTAGTGTATAGATTTCAATTGTGAAGTCCTTCCTACAAGTGTCTAATGACCAACTTGTAGCCATAAACAATAGCCATACATATAGACTTCGGCACCACCAACAACAAAGCCGGTAGGTAGCCTAATTCCGAGTACAACATAATTAGTTTTAGAAATTTGTAAAACATTATAGTACTTTCCCCTCATTTTCACATCTATTAAGGCAATACAAAGGGCTACTGATCATGTAGTATTTATTAAGAAAAATAGAATTAAACATGTCTTACTATAGCCAAAGCTTCATCACCTCTTACTATGAATTGGAGACAACAACATTTGTTCAATGGATTATGTCCACATTTGCGAGCAATTAACAAGGCATCTTGATACACGTAAAGCTTTTCTTATTACACAAAAACTTACCTATGTTTTTGTTGAACTTTTTTGCCTCGTAACACTAATACATCCAATCAAAAGACTAATATTTGTTCGTTTATGTTATTATAGTACTAGGGCTTGAAATATAACTATATAAGGGAGATGGGGGATAGAAACATTCGATATGGATTGTTTTTTGGATGAACATTCAAAATGTAGGAGATGCTTTGTAAAAAGTTCGCATGGTAGGTAAGCAATTATGTCCTTAAGGAGATTCGTTTCGTTTTGTCTTTGGCATTGATCCTTTTGAACATATGTTCTATTCCAAAGCCTTTTCTAGTGAAGGTTGAAGAAACTAATAATGAATGACTCGACCTAACAAGGCCATGAACATCGGGACCAAATATCGAACAATATGTCCCTACCATGTGATAAAAAACATCAAACGAAGCTTAATGAACCTTGAAAATTTTGGTTAACCATTTACTAGGTAAAATTACAAACGATAAAGCCCAAGTTTCTTCTCAATAGACTCATTTGTTAAATATATGGATAAGTATGATTGTGCTACGAGCTCGACTAACACACCTAAAAAGGTAGCCATGCCCAAATCCGGGCACTCAACATGAACCAATATCAAAATATTGTTGAAGCATACCAGAACATAAAACTAGATAGCAATCCATTATACAATATATTTCCAATAGGAGACCCGGACTATGTCTATTCTTACAATCCTCGAAGATACATTACCCTACCCAATAATAAGAATGAAAAATGCTATTTTTTTTCAATATTCTCATAGTATTGCTCTCCAAAATCTTCTTAGATGTTCAAGTGCAAGACCGAAAAGAAACCATAAAAGCAAGAACAATAGGAAATACAATCCCGATGAGTATTGAATACAAAATGACAACATCATGATAGATTAGAAAGAACATAGAAGGTAACTCGATTGCCACCAGTCCGTTATTCTCTTAGGAAGATCGATCACGATAGCCTACTCTAACAAACATCTCCGATGATGCTTGGATTACCCACCATTAATGGCTTTGACTTGAATGGGAAAGGAGAGAAACAAAGCCGAAGCGTAAATCATGCCGAGGAGATTTAATTTTCCGGGTATTACTTGAAGGATTGTGGGTTACGCCGTAGATTTGAAAGGGAAAGAATGAAATAGATTTGCAGCAAATGGGTAAAGACTTTTACAAAAAATAGGGGTATAAGTTTATTCGAAACATAGGGGACGTTTTAGTTTCGTCCTTAAAGATTTAAACATTTTGGTACAAATTTTTTCGTCCCAAATAGATGTTTAAATAAATTTTTTCCTTAAATAACATAACATTTAAAGACTTATATTTTCGTCACTAAATGGTATAATTCATCCTAAAATAATTACATTTCATAACAAGGAGGCGGGACAAGTTGGGTGCGTTGGAAAAATTTTGGCGCCAGTCATTTAAGGACAAAATTTTTATTTCATCATGAAATATTAGTATTTTGGAACGAAAATAAATTCTTAAGAAAAAATTTCATAGCTAAATTTCAAATTTATTGTAGTGAAATTCAGAACTCAATGCATAGAAGTTTTCGATGGAGCCTAGATTTTGGATTTCAGAAGGACAGCCCTATGGTTGTTGCTTGGGTTCGGCTGCCACATCTCCCTCTCACTTTCTTTACACCGTCATACTTGAAGAGGATAGGGGAATGTTTGGGCTGCTACCTTAGAGCAGATGCGAATACTTGCTCCTTGATCCATCCAATGCTTGCTAGAATTTGTATTGAGGTTCATGTTTCTAAACACCTCCCTAAACGCATTTGGATTAGTAGTTCGAATGAGAATGGATTTTGACGGAAGGTGGAGTACGAGGGTAGCCTTTCCTACAGCTTAGGGTGTGGGTTGATAGGGCATCATCAAGAGGCTTGTCGCAAAGTGGCTTTGAGTTCAGTTACTGCCCCTTCTTCCACGTTACCAACGCAGCAGCAACCACTGTCCAATAATGGTGATAATGGCAGAGGTAAAAACGTGTGGATTCAGGTTAATAAACAGCAACCACGCAAAAGGATTGAAGCTTCAGTTGATGACCTAGGGCATCCTCAAGACTCAGCAGCAGGTCTTCCTACAAGTGCTCTAGATGACACCGTAATGAAGTCGAGCGTGAATCCTATGTCTGCCACAAATCTCAACATTTGCCTTCTACCATAGCTAGGGTAAGCCTTTCCAGTCTAAATCATGATGTACTAGGGGATGCTGCTGCTGATTCTATTGGAAAACTTACAAATAATATTCGAGTCATGACTCCCCATGCTGGAACGGCGAGTCATTTTCACGTAGGTTCTTCCAGTGGGCAGAATCTGTTGGATGAGCAGACTGCGTTCCAGTCGGTTGAATCTCCTACGAATTCTATTCCCCAAGCAACTATGATACATGAGATGGGTCAAAAACATAAGAAGGACACCAAAGGAACCCAAAAATCTCCCTCAACAGCCGTGGATATAGTTTCTGTCCAGAATGTTTCGGATGACGTTAATGTGGGGGCTGCTGTAACAGATTCTATTAGAGTTTTGTGACCACAACACCAATTAATGGGCCATGCTTGGTCAGATGTACTGAACAAATAACATCATTTCATGGGGCTTCAATTGGTGTGCCAAATAAGTCTCAATCTGTTAGTGGGCAGAAAATAGGTGCTGGACAGATTTCGGTTGAGCAGCAACAGCAGGATTATGTTGACGCTGGACAATTTAATGTTGGGCACCAGCTGGACGTTGATAATTTAGCTATTCACTCAGACTTAGGCAGCAAGGACAGTGTTAATACTGTCTTATGTGATTTCAATAAAGAGGGAGCGGCCAACTACTTCTCCATTCTGGAAGGCTTAGAGGATAAGGAGTTGTAGAATGAGGAAACTCGGGTTGGTTGGCATGGTTCCTTATCTGATAATGCTTCTCCTGAAAAAAATATAGTAGCCCTCGACTATCACGACCTCAATCTTCCCCTCGTTTAGACTCTCAACAGGTGGATATGGATCATGTTAACCAACTGCATACAGCTCTCTCAAAATTAGCCCGGAAAGCAAAACTTCAAAATTCAGAGTTTAAGAGAAAAACACAAACAGCTCTACGAGCACAAGATACTCCTAACCCAAAATTTTAATTTTTGTCCGTCATTTTATGGAATGCTAAAGGGTGGGAAATAGAGATACCATAAATTATCTAAAACTCTTGAAAAGATAGCATCGTCCTATGCTACTAGTTATTTTAGAACCTAAACTACATGGAGATAAAATTGAAGAGGTTGCTAAAAAAGCTACTTTTCATGCATCATATGCACTATAATCCTATTAATGCTCATGTTTGGCTTTTTTGAAACTCGACATTTCTTTGACTAGTATGGATACTATTGAACAGCTAGTCACAATTAAAATAAACATTCATGGTCGTAGTCCGGTTTTATGTTCTTTTATTTATGCCAAGTGTTCTAAGGAAGAAAGATCGAGTCCATGGGCGCATGTAGGTTGCTTATCTAGTCTTTATTAGTTCCCTTGGTTAGTAGAGGGGGATTTTAATGCATAGGAAATGTGTCAAAAAAGATTGGCAGTATGTGTTAATGTAGTTGCTCAAGATTCAACAATGTTTAGATAGATTTAAGTTATTGTATTATTGTACTATTTATTTTATTAATAATAAAGAAGTCTTTTTATCAATTTTGGAATGAGAAGTGATTTGGAGGAAAATTCACTCTACTTTCATCATAAATCGGTAAGATATATATACAAGAGTATTCCTAAATTAAATCCCTACACATAGCAATATTCCTTAATTACATCCCATATTATAGCAGATTTATTTTAGGGAATTCCTAAAATAAATATGATATCCTTGATCTTAGGAATGATTTCCTAAGATCAATCCGATATCAATCCCAAAAAATCCGGGTTTTTCCTTCTAATATTCCAACACTCCCTCTCAAGCTAGAGAATAAATATCTATCATTCTCAACTTGTTGATAATTGACTCAAATCCTAGTCTAGGCATAGCTTTAGGAAGAGTATCGGCTTCTTGAGATCTTGTAGGAATGTAGGACAAGTTGATAGCTCCATCTTCAATGTCTCTTTTGATAAAACTTCGATCATGTTGCACTAGATTATTAACAATGTTGATGGTAGATTTACCGTCACTCTGGATAATCTTGTTGGGGTGGATAAAGGGATTTTCGGATCCTTCATCAATTTGTCCAACCAAATCACCTCACAAATTCCTAGAGCAATAGCTCTATACTCTACTTTCGCAATACTACGAGCTACCACACTTTGTTTTTTGCTTCTCCAAGTAACTAGATTACCCCATAACTTAGTACAATACCCGGAGGTGGATCTACTATCTTCACTAGAGCCCGCCTAATCTGCATCCGCAAAACCCTTAATTGCCTTTTCTTTTTTCCTTCAAAATAGTAGGCCTTTCCCCGGTGTTCTATTTAGATACCTTAAGATATGGTTTCCGAATCTAAGTTTCTTTTAGTGGGTGAATGCATAAATTGGCTTACCATGCTCGCAACATAGGCTATTTCTGTTCAAGTAAGAGATAAATAAATAATTCTCCCTACCAATCACCGATATCTCCTTTTTTCCATGGGTGGATCATTTTCAATTTCTTTCCATTTCCAATTCTTCTCCAACAATGTCCTAACTATTCTAGCTCCAAGCTTGCCAATTTCTTTTAGGAGATCAAGTGTGTATTTTCTTTAAGAAATGAAAATAGACTCTTTACTCCTAGCTACTTCCATTCCTAGGAAATATCTCAATGTTCCTATATCTATAATTTCAAACTCGGCTTTTAATTTCTTCTTGAGATCCTCATTTCTTGACTATCATCTCCCGTTATTATGATGTCATCTACATAGACAATCAAAATTGACTTTTTCATATTCTCTACATGTTTTGTGAATAATGTGTGCTTTGCTTGTCCTTGGTTATAACCAAGTCGAATGAGTGTAGTGCTTGAACCTCTTGAACCACGTCCTTAGGGATTGTTTTAGGCCATAAAGGGATTTCTTCGGTTTATACACTTGTCCTTTCTTTTCTTCTATCTCAAAACTAGGAGGTATTTTCATGTATATCTCCTCGTCCAATTCCCCATTAAGAAATGCATTCTTCACATCCAATTGGTAGAGCTCCCAATCCAGGTTGGCAGTAATGGATAGTAAAACACTAATGGAGTTCATCTTAGCAACAAGGACGAAGGTCTCTTCGTAGTCTAGGTTATATGTTTGTGTGAAACCTTGGGCCACCAATCTAGCCTTATACCTTTCAATATTCCCATCTAATTTGTACTTAATAGTGAAAATCCACTTGCACCTAACCAATTTCTTATTTTCCAATAGCTTCATAATGTCCTAAGTGCTATTCTTGATCGATACATTCATCTCCTCTAATACTGCTCGCCTTCCATCTTGAGTCTTGTAAGGCATTTTGAATGCCTTTAAGAACCTCCACACTAGCAATTCTTATAGTGAATGCCCCGAATTGAGGGGATAATTTTGAATATGTTATGTAATTAGAAATAGGATACTTAACACATGATCTTACCCCTTTCAAAGAGCTATCGGAACATCCATGTCATCCATCATAGTAGAATCTTCGTTTGTGGTTTCATATAATGACTCGGCTCCAAATCCGATTATTGGCCTTGTTAAGGAGCTTTTGGCCTATTGGCATAAACTTGAATTGGTTTTTCGAAATAAATTCTCCCTCTTGATTAGTCATATGGGATTGAAGGTGGTCGAGTTCGAGTTTGTTAGATTCACTTTCTAGTCGTAAGTATGAGTGAGAGCTTAGAAATGAGATAGGAAGAGAGATAATGGGATCCTAATGTCTTTCTTCACTTGATGTCTCCCCTCGAAGAGAGGCATTAGGGTAGAAAGATTGCTCCTCAAGAAAGGGTACATCATAGGAAACAAAGAACTTTTAAGAGAATGGGCAATAACACTTACACCCTTTTTGTGTAAGAGAGTATCCAATGAACACACACTCGAGGGCTTTATGGTCAAGTTTGCTTTGATTGGGATGGTTGTTGTGGATAAATACAGTGCAAGCAAAGACTTTAAGGGAAAGGGAATTAAAGATTCGGAGTTTGAGGGAATTTTTCTTGGAGAGTTTTTAAAGGATTTTGGAATTGTAGTACTTCGGAAGGAAGGCGGTTTATTAGGAAAGAAGCTATAAGAACGGATTCCCTCTAATAAGAATTTAGAACAAAACTTACAAACATCATTGCATGTAGGTGTCGATTTTTTCGTTCAACTACCCCATTCAGTTGAAGAGTATAAGCATAAGAGCTCGATGTAAAATGCCATATTCAATAACATATTGGGTAAATTCATTTGAAAATATTCTCGACTATTATCGGTACGAAAGACATGGATAGAAGATTGAAAGAAATTCATGATAAGCTTATGAAATTGTTTGAATATGCTATTGACTTCGATTTTTCTTTCATAAGGTAAACCCAAGGAACATGTGTATGGTCATCTATGAAAGTGATGAACCATCGGGTGCTCGACACATTGGGCATTTGGGCTAGTCCTCAAATGTCACTATGGATCAACCGAAATGGTTTCGAAGGTTCATAAGAATGTAGGTGATAGTTAATTAGAGGTTTTTTTTTAGCAAGAATACAACTTTCACAATGAAATGAAATGTCTTTCTTATTGATAAAAAAAATGAGGATACAAGCTTTTGAGGTAGGAAAAACTAGGATGTCCAAGGTAATTATGCCATACCATTACATCGAGTGCAAAACAATAGAAAAAAAGGCTTTATTAAGTGACTTGTTTTTAAAAGGAGAACCTACTCTTGATATCTAGTAAAGACCATTCTTCTCCTCAACACTACCAATCATCTTCCCTAAAGACGAGTCCTCAAATTCACAATGAGAAGGGAAAAATTCATATTGCAATTCATATCTTTAGTCAACTTACTAACGGATAACAAATTGCATTTAAGTTTAGCCACATGTAGGACAAATTTTAAATGTAAATTAATAACCAAATTGTTCCTTGACCTATGGCAAAAGAGATCGCACCATCGGCCATTGAGACATTTATATTATGATCGCATGTCTCATAAGTTGAAAAAGTATTCAAGGCACTAATCATGTGATCGGATGCACCTATATCCATTATCAAACAACTATCAATGAGTTTCTAAGTTAATAGGGAATGCCTTGTATTACCTTTTTGGGCCATTAAGGTCGTTAGGTTAAGAGGGGTTAGGTTAAGAGGGGTTGTTGGATATGACCTCGTAAATAACTTAGTTTGATTTAAGAGTTAGTGAAGGACTTCAATCCGATCTGTCGATAGATTTAGGTTGCCAATCTTTCCACTTTCCGAAGTAGATTCTACTACATAAGTTGATCGATTTGATTCCCTCTAATTTTGAAGCTTCCAATTTATTGGTTTTCTATGTATCTTCTAACATATCTCTTTGGTTTGGTATGGCTTATTACGGTGATCACACCATTGCTTATCCTTTGATTGCTAATCCTAATAAGAAAGAGAAGCACCATCTTGTTTGGTTGTAGAGAGGGTTGAATTTTATGGGATCATGTTTGTGTTCGAAGTCGGTGGAGAGCTAAACATTACCTTTCTTCAACGCTCCTCTCTTCGAACTTCAGCAAATGCTTCTCAAATAGTTAGAAGAGGCTTTGTACCAAGTATTCTTCCCCGTACTTCATCAAACTCTGTCTTAAGACCTTGAAGGAAGTCAAAAACATGTTCCTTCTTTAACATTTTTTCAAATTTCATAGTATCGATTGGAGAGTCCTAACTAATTTCATAAAATAAATCCATCTTTTACCACAACTCTATTAGAGTATTATAGTATTCGATTACAATCATATTAGT